GAGTTGAAACAGCTAGAACAAGGTTTTGATTTTGAAGGTAAGAAATTGATGCTTACACTTGACACAGTTATTTGTGACACACCAGCCAGGTCCTTTGTTAAAAACACCAAGAACCACAATGCCTACCATGGTTGTGACAAATGCGCACAACCTGGTAAATATATAAATAGACGCATGACATATCCATGCACAGAATATGCTTTAAGGACAGATGACTCATTTGAAACCATGGCTGATGAGGGTCATCATCATGAGGGTCCACACCCATTTCATGGCAGCAATGTTGGCATGGTGTCTCAGTTTCCACTAGATTATATGCATTTGGTTTGTTTAGGTGTTGTTAGGCGAATGCTAAATATCTGGTTAAGGGGTCCCTTGAATGTCAGAGTACCTGCTAACATAGTACAAAGGATGTCTGCAAAACAAGTAGAAATGCGATCCCATGTTCCTGTAGAGTTTGCCCGTAAGCCCAGATCGCTGAGTGAATTGGATCGTTGGAAGGCCACTGAATTAAGGCAGTTTCTGCTCTACACAGGACCTGTAATGCTAGGTAGCTTTCTGGACAGCAATATGTATAGGAATTTTATGTTACTTTTTTCTGGGATTGCAATTTTGGTGAGTCCTAGACTATCTTGCCACACACAGTATGCACAAACTTTACTTAGGTCTTTTGTTAATCACTTTGGTGAAATCTATGGAAAAGATCAACTTGTTTATAATGTACATTCATTGGTCCATCTGCCAGAAGAAGTACAGAGGCATGGTTGCCTTGACTCTTTTTCTGCATTTCCTTATGAAAGTTACCTGCACAAGCTGAAAAAGCTAGTCAGAAAACCAGAGTTCCCCCTGGCCCAAATCATCCGTCGATTGTCAGAGATAAAAACTACTGATTCTCTGGTTAATGGTACTGCTTTTAAAAAGCAACACTTTGTTGGGCCAGTTGTAGGTGGACTGTCAGTGAAATCTCAGTATGGTGAGATGACCTGTGACAAGTGGACAGTTAAAGTTTCAGCCAGAGATAATGTTTTTGTCATTGGGAATGACATTTGCTGCATATGTAATATTGTAGAATGCAGTGATGGAGTATATGTAATATACAAAAAATTTTCACACAAGTCTTTGTTCTTCACTTACCCATTCAGCTCCGATTACCTAAATATTTATGCAATTTCACAAACATCAGATACACTCGAGTGTGTTAATGTTTCAGAGCTTGTACAAAAATGTGCTGTTCTGCCTCATAGGGACGGTTTTGTGGCAATACCCCTATTCCACACATTTTAGATGCGCACTTGCACATGGACAGAAACTGGGACTTTAAGTTGAATTTAGAGCAGTATTTGATCCACTACTGTATGGATTTGCCGCAGTGTCTTGCTTGGCTGGCAATTTTAGTATTTTTTCTTACTTTATAGTGTCATAAGAATTTTTCTTTTGCAGTTTATTATTTTATTTATTTATTTTGGATAATGATATTGGCCATGTTGGCTGTTTTATAGTATAGTATTGCCAACTGAAAAGTCTGGGCAATTTCTATTCATCTTTTCGCCAAAGTGAGGGTCAGACACTGACAAACTTGACTGTATCATCAAAAACACTGCTAACTGGATATCAATTAATTGTAAGTGGTTTAGTTGTTTGTGTTTATTGAGACCCATAAATGTGTTACATGTTAGCCAATGTAAGGTCTTGAAATTCTTGAACAATTTGCATTGTCCTTCTTTTACCTAATAGTCAGCCTCTTCTGAATGATATTACAG